CATACATATATCATATAGATTCGAGGGACTCGACTCAAACTTAAAAATCAATCCATTATTTACTAAAATTTTTGAGTTATTCGAGTTGTATTTTACAACTTGATTTGATCTTGAAATTTTTTCGAGTCGAATTTATGAGATTACAACTCGAAGTCAATTCGAGTATAGTTTTTCTCGAGTCGAGACAAGTCGAAAAAATATTTTTTTGAATTTAGTCGTATTTACGAAATTACAACTTGAAATTAATTCGAGTTGAGAGTTTTGAGTCGAATCAAGTCCAAAAAATCGATTTTTCGAGTCGAAACGAGTTTTGCTCACCCTATCCTCCCTCCCTCACAAATAGGATTTTTTTTATTTCCTTTATAATTCCCGATGTTATTAATACAATGGAAAAATTGTACTTTACTCCCTAAAATAGATTACAGATTCCGTTTCTGACTTAACATTTATTTTAAAAACATCAAACTATTTATCATTCGATCACACTTAAACAATTTGATATTTATTTTAGGATAATGTACATAAATGGTCCTCGACATAAGGACATTGTTTTGTTAAGTCCCTAACTATTAAAAGTTACAAAATGATCCCTTGATTATAGGGTATTACTTTGTTGAGTCCCATGACTATTAGAAGTTACAAAATGGTCACTTGACTATTCATATATTCCAAACTCGTCATTTTCTATTAAAAATTTGACAATAGTCTGAGATGGATATTAACCTACTGACTGTGATTTAATAAAATTTGATCATAAAACCTCAAACGACTATCATATCACAATCAACAAGTTAAAATCAAACTCAGGTTGTCGTCATTTTTTTATAAAAAAAATGATGAGTTTGGAACATATGAATAGTCGGGAGACAAATTTGAAACTTTTAATAGTCGGGGAACTTAACAAAATAAAGCCCTATAATCGGGAGATCATTTTATAATTTTTAATAGTCAGGAGACTCAATAAAGTAATATCCTATGATCGATGGACTGTTTGTGTATTTTACCCTTTATTTTCTATGGTTCTCAAAAAGGTATCTAGCCATAGTACCATATTTGACATTTATGGTGAATTGTGGCCACGTGGATTGTGGTGGGTCGAAACCCTACCCCCCCACGAATAACATACACCAACCATTTTTCAAAATTTTTGGGCGCCAAATTGCTTTGTTTGCTATTTGCCTTCGTTTTCACCATTATGTCTTTGCCTCTTTGGACCATATGCCACATTAGTATCAATACAAATATCCAAGGACGAATCCGAGATTTAACCCAATAATTCACATGGTCATTTTTTATATATAAAAAGTTAATATAATACTAAATTATTTTTTTAAAAGAAAATTACATTAAAATTTGATTTTGGATTCCATTAACATATTATTTATATTTTGGTTTCAAAAGGGTAAAACTTTAGTAATAAAATAACTAAATAATTATATATCTTTTCTTCATTATGGACTCACGGGGAAGCCATGTTCTCTCTAAGTAAACGGTGTCAATTTAATACCCACATTACTACCTTTTCATTCCACTTCGTGACATACCATAATTTTACCATAATCAATTTCCTCGCGCCAATAACATTTTTTTCGATTATAAAATATATATTACATGAAGAATAAATTGCACAATACCTCTCTAAACCAAGACTCTCATTTTAAATTAGTATTTAAAATTTTAAACATTATAAATTTATCCCAAACTATGATTCTCATTTTATATTAGTCTTCAAACTTTTGCATAATTTTCGGAGTTATTGAAATGTTAAAAAGTTTAGTGCCGAGTTAGAACGAGGATCGTAGTTTGAGTATGAATTTGGAATATTCAAAATTTTGGGGATTAATTTATAATGAAAGTCATAATTTTGAGGTAAATTTGAAATACTCAAAGTTTAAGGATCAATTTAAAAATGTGTGATGCAACTAACTCTTATATGAATAAATTGAACAATCTTTTCAATAAAGTTTGTCTATAATTTTCTCATTCTTGTTTTCCTACTAGTTCGAGTTTATTGACAATCTATTCTAATCCTGTACCTTTGTTTACATGTGATGGACTTGTTCACGCATCTTACATAATTTTTTTAATTGATTTAAGGTGAATATAAGATAGTATATGTTTAGAAGACTCTAAATCATTCGATAATGAACGCTCATACACCCCATCAGACGTCATGCTCGAACCCGAGACCTCGAAGAATCTTACATTAGTTGAATTGATCTTAATTGAAGACTTAAAATAAATAATTTATCATTCTACTTGTGATTTGATAAACTCGTAACATGTATTTTCAATTTTAGGAAGAAAATATTTAAATGAGGGGTTTCAAATCAAAAATTTTAGATTTTATATTTTTCATATTCGAGTTTTTTAAATTAAATTTTTGGGCTCGGAATAGCTTTTCCTAACTCCCAAAACAACCGAAATTAAACACACTTTAAATGTATATTTTAATTTAATGGTACCATAATGGCACATTAATTTCATGCTAATTATTTCTTTAGGTTACAATTTAATCAGATGTAATTAATTTTATAGGTGATCACAATTAAGAACTCATTGATTTTGTGACGTTATCAATCATTCTTTGTCTCATTCCAATTAATACAAAATTATTTTAGTTAAACAATTTTCTCATTATTCAATTCTCAATATTTTAGTGTTTGTTATGAAATTGAATAAGTTAATAGTAAGAAATTACAAATTTTAAAAATACAAATTCTAGATTGAAATTTTTATACCAAAATATCACGGTAACAAAATTATTTTAGTTAAAAAATCACGAGAAATAAGTTGGATGACATGCTTCGTAATGTAAGGACTGTGCTCCTATATTTTCTTAAAAAATATTTTTCTTATAAATAATATAATTATTTTTATAAAACCAATACTATATTTTTTATGTTCCATAAAAAATCATTATATATATACATATTGGGATAATATATGCGTGTCGACATTGTTGGACAAAAAGGTAATGGTCCCCTCCCGTTAAATGTGGGGTATACAAAGTAAATTACTCCAACCAAAATTATAAAAATACTATTCAAGAAAAAGTTGGAAAATTATGTTTTTATGTGAAAAAAATACAATTTTTATTTATTTATTCTTACTATGAAGTATTATTTAGTAATAATAAAACATAATATATTGTAATTATTGGTTAATTAATATATACGTATGAGTACGATAAGAAATAATTGCCATGATACGTTTAACATAGATATTGTATCAATGTTTAAGATTTTAATACAATTAATTAACTATCGTGTTTAAGATTAATATAATTATTGTGATAATACCTTTATTTTTTTCTTATTAGAAAAAAATTTAATACAATTAACAATTTTTTGGTATTAATGTTTACACTATTAATATATAGAAATTACAAAACATGGTACGCATAATTGATAGTTTATCTTTCTAGTTGTCGTGACTTTAAGGTTTAGATAATTATCAGATACGGTACTTAATGTTTTCATTTTTTAACCAAAATTATTTTATATAAAATTATGATATTTACGATTTTACGCTAATAATTTTAATTTATCAGAAAATGATAATTTAACATATCAAATTAATAATTTATTAATTATCAATTAAAAAATTAAAAGAAATATTGATTGACAAAACTCTCAATGAAATCAAAAGGGGAAAAAGAAAGTACCGTCAAAGTTAGCAATATACTACTATATTTGACTAGGTCCGAGGGAAAAAAATACCCCTAAAATATCTAAAATTAATTCATGGTGTAATGATTTCTCTTTTACTATTTATTGAAATTAATAAAAATTGTAAAGAAAATATTTGTTGACAAAATTCACGAGAAACTCATAATAAATATATGTTAGTGAAATCGATAAGAAATCCATTAATCTCATCGGTAAGTAGTGAAATCTATTAATCTCATCGGTAATTATCCTATTCTTGAAACCATAGTTCTAGAGTTAAGACACTAACTTTTGTAATTCTCCCGTTCAATAATTATCCTTGACTGTGAAACTAATATACAGTCTGATTAAGTTTAAAATTTATTTTTAATAGTTAAAAATCATTAAGTTTTTATCATGAAATTCTCAAATTTTATATTGTTTATATACAAGTTTTTTTAAGTCTTTAATTATAATATTCTAAACATAAATTTATTGAGTGTTTGGAGATAATATTTATGCATGTGCTGTAAATATGTATATTTGATACATAATATATGCGTTATTCTTTTTTTTAAAAATAAGTTGTATATTTTTTTTTTCATTTTTATTCATTATTCCTATTTATTTAATCTTGATCATTGATGATGTCATTTTCTTAAATAAAATTACTCAAGTGTCATTTAATTAAATAAATATAAAATAAATATTATTCTAATATATAATCTCAAAATTAATAATTGGAATAATATATTAATTTAGAATAAAATAAAATTAGTAACATATAAAACTTAAATTATAATAAAATCTCTAACATTAAAATCTCAAATTTATATTACTTTAACCTTACGTATTAAATCAAAACCTAATTTTTTCCATTTCACTGATAAAGTTCATATTTTATTTTATCATTCGTTTTCCCTCCAAAACAAATAGAAATAGAATATACGTTAAGAAATGGAAAGAGTAAAGAGAAAGGTTATAAATAGTAGAAAATCCAGTGAGTCTAAAAAGAAGGAAGTGTGGAAGGAAGGAAGATGAAACCACTGTAGCATCTTCTTTTTACTTTATGGTGTTAAAGTGAAAAATCTCAGTGTGTTTAGCAATGGAATTGTTAGGACAATTGTGGACAAAGTGGGCCTCTCTTTGCCCCTCTCTCTCTCTCTCTCTCTCGCTTTGCCCTGTAAATTCTAAATCTTGACAAATCTAATTTTTGGACCTTTTTTTTGTTCTCCTTTGTTTTTGTTATATTCCAAAATCACTGTCTCTATCCACGAGAAAATCCCTCTCCCGCCTTTCCCCCTTCTTCTTCTTTGTTCCGTTGTTTCTTCTCTCTCATTACTCTATGTTTGCTATCTTGGAAGTTAAAGCAAATTGACAGAGTCAAGGGAGGGAAAATTTTCAACAGTACAGAGAGAGAGAGTGACGAGTTTCTTTCTTCCTCTGGAAATGATGAATACCCCAGAAAAGACCCAGATCAGCTCTTCACTCTCTAAGTTTGAGGTACTAATTTTCTTCAACTATTTGATCATTCTTTTTTTGGGGGAAACCCTTTCTGTAGTTTTGATTTTTTGTCGCTTTCTTATGCACTGCATGTGCTTGTTTTTTTGGTCTCTGTGAGAGAGTTGATCTTCATCTTTTCTGGGTTTTGTTTCATAAAAGTCCATTCTTTTAGTTCTTACTCTCTCTGGAGTGTGAATTTGTTTACTTTTATGGGAATTAGATCTCTGGGTAGAATTCAACTTTTTTCTTCTGAAACTTGTTTTGCCTTCTGATTTCTGGGTTTTTCTGGTTGTGGTGTTCATTTGATAGGGGTTACAGCATAGATGTTTCACTTCCCCTGCTTTTGAATTCATCTTTGTTGCAAAATTTTTAGTCTTTTGGATGTTGGATAAACATTTGATTTGGATCAAAAGATGCTTTAAGGGAAATTTTTGGCCTTTTAACATTGTGATTTTCCCAGGATTCTCCGGTCTTTAACTATATCAACAGTCTCTCCCCCATCAAGCCTGTCAAATCCGTGCATGTTACACAGACATTCAACCCGCTTAGTTTCGCATCACTGCCCTCTATTTTCACTTCGCCCCATGTCAGCTCTCACAAGGAATCTAGGTTCCTGAAATGGTAATGAACTAGTATTATACATCCTTGATTTTGTTTAGTTTCATGCTTTATAATCTCTTTTTTATTTGCTTGTTGGCTTAGCTCTACAGATCCATCAAAACCCGAGTTGTCTTCTGCTGATGGGACTAAAGTTAGTCCGGTGGAGGATGCCGGTGTGGATGTACATGAGAATTTCGATCCAGCAGTTTCCCTGGGTGAGGTTTCTTTTGAGCTGCCTAATGAACCATCAAGGATTGCAATCGAGCTGCCACAGACGTTAAAATATGATTGTGGTAGCCCTGACTGTGCTCCAACACCTTGTGTAATCGAGATGAATTGTGTCTCTCAACCTACCTGCACATCTCTCGCGATTGTACCGTTCGTTCAAGAGGCCTCTCAAAAAGGTTTATCTGATGGCGTGGAAGTAGCTGCCACTTTCCAGATCGAGCGAAAAAAGGAAACGATTGGATCTGAGTGGGAGAGTTTGATTTCTGAGACAGCTGACCTATTGATTTTTAGTTCCCCCAACGACTCTGAGGCTTTTAGGGGTGTAATTCTGAAATCATTGGACCCTGGTAGTACAATTTGTTCTACTCTTATTTCGCAGTTCCCACAAGATGATATCAGTGATTATAAAGATCAAACTGAAGGAATCACTGGGCTCAGCGAAATTAATAGTGTGAATGAAAGTTTTGAGGATAATAATGTGACAAACATCGTGCCCGGCAGTCTGACTGATCATATGGAAAATCGCATGTCCGCCCCATATTCTATTGAGGTAAAAGATGATGTATATTTGAAAGAGTTGCAGAAAAGTAGAAAACTCTAAACATGTTTGTTCTTTTACTAGTTTCGGTATGACAAGTTTTCTTCTTCTCATGTTTTGTTACAGTAATAGCAATGTAGACAGACTTACATCTGCACTAGTCCACTACCACATGGGTTCCTTTGTTTGTTTATGCAACTTAATTCTCTCAAGAAAATTATCATGAAAGTCATCTCTCTTGATTTGCTTTTACTGATGATGCTTTTATCTGTTTGTGCACAGCCTGGTTCTAATTTGCATCGCGGGTTCAGACGGCGCTGTTTAGACTTTGAGATGCTGGCAGCTCGAAGGAAGAACTTAGATGGCGGTTCAAATACCAACTCTTCTGTCGATAACAAATTGAAGCCCAGTAAGGCTGGCTGTGATTCCTCAAGGTGCATTGTACCCGGAATTGGTTTGCACCTAAATGCTCTAGCAATAGCCTCGAGGGATAACAATAATTCGAAGCTTGAAACTTCATCATCTGGGACACAAAAGCTAATTCTCCCTTGCACCACTACATCCAATTCACCCACAGCAGATAACGAAACTGCACATGAATCTTTACTGGCTTCTGTCTCGACCAAAAGAGAAACCGATGATGTCGAAAATGGGGTTCAACTTGCAGAAGATGCTTCTCAGGCATCTGCCTATTTAGTTAATGAAGAGTTCAATCAAAATAGTCCAAAAAAGAAGAGGTATGATAACTTGACAGTGTTGTTGATTGGTTTATTGGTTATTACTGATGGACATTTCTTAACGTTTGTTTCTTCATCATTGTGTTATGGGTTTTCAGGCGGAGATTGGAACAAGCCGGAGAGAGTGAGGCCTGTAAAAGATGCAATTGCAAGAAATCGAAGTGTCTGAAACTGTAAGTTCTTCTAGTTTTTCTTTAAATTACAGGACATGCTTTATATTCCTGCTTACCACCGTGGTCTGCTAGGGTGTTATGATTTTTTGTTTATGTGCTCATTGGATATCGAAACCTTTTTTCTCAGCTACTGCGAATGCTTTGCTGCTGGTGTATACTGCATCGAGCCTTGTTCTTGTCAAGACTGCTTTAATAAGCCTATCCATGAAGATACTGTACTTGCAACTCGCAAGCAGATCGAGTCTCGAAACCCACTTGCATTTGCTCCCAAAGTGATCAGAACCTCTGATCCGATACCCGAAGTTGGAGTACGGAATAACTCCACGACTCTCTATCTAATTGGTCAATTGCAAATTGTTACATAGCCTAACTGCCATTTATTCTCGCAGGATGACTTGATCACAACACCGGCTTCAGCTCGACATAAACGAGGATGCAACTGCAAGAAATCAAATTGCCTGAAGAAATATTGTGAATGCTTTCAGGTTTTCCTTCTCAGAAAAAAAACCCTCTGTTGATGTTGTTCTACATAAACTGATTTAGAAGCCGTTTTCTTGTCTTAAAGGGTGGTGTCGGATGTTCCATCAACTGCAGATGCGAAGGCTGTAAGAATGCATTTGGTCGGAAAGAAGGTAAGAGTCTATTTGGTGTTTTGTTCTTGACCGGTCTATATTATTCAAGTTCTTATTCACTTGATTGCTTCGAAACACAGGATCTGCTATTTTGGAAGCCGAAGGAGATCCCGGAGAAGAAACAGATCCTTCGGAGAAGAATGCAGCTAACAAAAAATTCGAAGAAACAGACATCTTGAATAACGAAGAGCAAAATCCAGCTGCTCTCCCAACAACTCCATTACAGCTTTGCAGGTTTCATTCTTGAACTGTTTGAAGTTTTTTCCATGATAAAATCAATATATTTTTGCTATAAAGTAAAATATTGTTTTTCTCCACAGACCTTTGGTTCAACTGCCATTTTCATCTAAGGGTAAACCGCCACGGTCCTTTATCGCCATTGGATCATCTTCCGCACTGTATACCGGGCACATATATGGAAAGCCTAATATTATCCAACCACCAAACATTATCGAAAAGCATTTCCAATCCGTTGCAGAAGATGAAACACTCGAGATTCTACAAGGCAATTCTTCTCCGGGAACCAGCATTAAAACGTCATCCCCCAACAGTAAGAGGATCTCTCCTCCACAATGTGAGTTAGGGTCAACCCTTGGTGGTGGTCGGAGTGGCCGGAAGTTGATATTGCAGTCAATACCCTCATTTCCTTCTCTTACTCCTAAGCATTAAAATGGAAACCTTCCAGTTTCCATAAAATTAAAGATGAAAATTCTTTAAAATCTGTCATGTTTTCTTTTAGGCTGTATCTGTGTAATAAACCTGTTATCTCGCTTCCATAATGTTAAACTTTTCTTGTAAAATATGGTATCTTTGTATCTTCACTTTAATTTCCAAGCTCCATATTGTAAATTTCATTACTGTTCTCAACTTCTCTAGCTTTTATCATCATTATTATCACCATCATAGTCATCGTCGTCATAAGGGAAAGGGTTCTGAAATATTTTGTTACGGCAAAAGGGTATGCAAGGTCTTTATACTTTTAAAAAAACAAATTAATGCAGGCGCGTGTTGAATTGAAAAAACAACGGGAGAGAGATGGACAAGCTGGTCGTATCGCATTGGAGAATATGAAAAACACAGCGGGGATTGGAATTAATTTAGATGCTGAAAGGGAATTCAATATTCTCATAGGATCTTCTTCTTCGTTAATCCATCGGATCGGTGGGTAGTTAGTAAGGGTAATGTATTGTATCTTGGTGTGGACCTTGGAATTTTTATTTTCAGTATTGCCGAGTAAATTGTACTCTTTTTCTCCATTTAGGTTCAGAGAGTTTAATTTCTATGTTGGCCATGACTTTATGATTATATAAATAAAAATCATATTTGCCCGATGAATGTTTCTACATTGTAATATCATCAATGAAACAATGTTCTTATACAATTCGACTCCTAAAAAAAACTTTAATTAAAGGTGAGAATCGTCAAAAGATAATTCATGGATTAAGTTGTTAAAACTAAAAACTAATGATGCCAAAATATAATTTAACCATAAAATTTAGAACCAAAATGAATATATTAAAACTAAGGAGGACCAAAAAAATTATTATAATATTTTTTTTTAATATTATAAACCGAAATACTAACGACGTACTACAAATAATAATATTAATAAGGAAAAATTCTACAGCGTACGTCACATACCACAACGTACCACTAAAACGACGTACCAAAATACACCATAAGCAAATTTGTTTTTATTATGTAAATATTAAAAAATATTAGAATTTATTTAAGATTAATAATTTATTAAAAATTAATTATAATTTTAATAGAATTATAATTAAATTATGATTTGTATGAACTACGTATGAGAGTTGACTCGGAATAGCTTTGAACTGCACCCTTGACGCGAAGTGTGCCTCGTTTGGATGAGAATTGGACCTAGAAAAAAGGGATTTTTATGAAACTTTAAAGGTTGAGGGACTAGAAGAATAAATAATTTATTTGAGGATTTGAAGGCTGAAGTACGTGATATCACCGTGAATATTAGAGGGACATATTTCATTTTCACCCACTCTTTTCTCTTCATCTTTTTCATAACACTCTTCTTCTCTCTCCTCCCTTGGATTTCAAAGATTGATCTTAGCCTTTCTTTGCTCATTTTAAATTATTAAAAACTATTTCTAGTCGTGTTTGATAATTAGCAAAAGAGAAGGGGAAATTCTCTGGACTTAGAGGCAAAGAGAAGCTTGGAGGTAGTTGATTCAAGGCCTCAATTTGATGATTATGAGTAAAATAATGTATTCCTAATCTCATGTTATATCATGATTATCATAAAAGCAATGTCTTGTCTGTAGTTTATGATTTTTGTACTATATTTGGGTGATATGCATGAATTGTGGCTTGAATACTTGATTTGTTGTTTAATATATGTTATTTATTCGTTAAATGAACCTATAAGACTCCTTAAACTTTATAAATTATGTTTGACCTTAATGATAGTATGTAGAGGGATTTGAGGGTGATTTTTGAGCCTTGTAAGTCATTTTTTTATTTTAGTATCGACATTGTTCATGTAATATCAATACTGATTAAATAAGTGTAAAATCTTGTTAAAAATAATCTTGAGTTTAGATACTATTCATTGGGTATCGATATCAAAAGTAAGATATCAATGTCGAGGAAAATTATTCAAACATCGAAGTTGAAATCGGTATCGATACTATAGGTGAGTATAGATACAGATATGAATAGTATCGATATTGACATAAATGTATAAATACCCATTTTATTTTAATCCGAATGATGAAATCAATTGTCATCCAACATATCATTCAAACTTATCTCGTCATAAAGTTTGAATCTAGTCTTCACCATACAGAAGATAAATGCAATTTTTCATACACAAGCTCCCGATTTAAAGAATTCAATAGGCTCTAATCGCAGACCGGAGGCGGTGGATTGAGTTGGTGGTTTGTCGAGGAAGAGACCCAAGATGGATTTATATTGTACATAATCACATAAAGAGTAAAGACTTAGTTATACAGAACTCATAAAATCCCAATTAGATAAAATATAGAAGATATATTAATTAATTAAAATTATTTTCGTTTATCTCTTATACATTACTGTTGATGATACAACCGAAAACCATATTTTTGTATTATGGTACGACGAAGATGTCGTTCGTGCACAAGGATTTTTAACTTCAAACACAGGTCGTCGTGCTGCGATGTTGAAAAGCTGATTTGCAGACACTATCCTGAACGCCCAACAGAGGATGAATGCACCGGAAACTGATCACCCAATGAACACGAAACAAAAAAAGATAAAGATCATCAACATGTTGAATTGAAAGAGCAACGGGAGAGACAGAGAGAGAGAGAGAAATTGTTGGATCAAAGACATGTGCCGAGTTAAAAGAGCAACCAGAGAGCGGTAGAAAAACTATTCAATCAAAGACATGAGTTGAGTTGAAAGTGCGACGGGAGAGAGACAGAAAAATTGCTCGAATCGCATTAGAAAGTATGAAAAACACTGCAGGAATTGAATTTAATTTTGCAGTTTTTTCATATTTTCTAATGCGATCCGATCCATGTTGCTTTTCTATCTCTCTCCCGTCACTCTTTAAACTCAACACATGTCTTTGATTCAGCAGCTTTTCTACCTCTATATCGTTGCTCATTCAACTCAACATATATATTTGATTCAGCAGCTTTTTCTACCTCTCTCCCGTTGCTCTTTCAATTGAGAAAGGACTTTGGGGTGTCAATGACAGGAGAAGATGAGTTTAAAACAATGGCAATAGGACCAAAGAAGCATGATATGCTATGTTCATACTGTTCTTGCCGCTCAACTACCCAAATCATATATATATATATATATATTAGGTAAATTTAATATATTTTTATTAATATTAATTAAATTTTAAACTAACTATTTATTGATACTGACAAAATTTTATTTATCATTTTTATTAACCTGGAACTAGTTATTATTAGTATTACTGCTGTTGTTACTTTATCTAAGATTTTCGGTGTGTTATCGCCACATAAACTTTAATTATATTTAGATTTGAGTAAGGTCGAACTCTTAAGCAGGAGACAAAACTCAACAAGCAATGTTATTTTTTTTTTCATTCACAATATCAGAATGCAAGACATCATTAAAAATACATCAGCAGTTTATCAATTAACTCAATTGTTAAAAGATAACAACATATATAATGATCGTAAAATAAAGAGACATCAAAAAATTACGGGTAAAAAAAAAGAAAATTCACTAATATAGAGAGAAAACATATAATATAAGTCCTTATGGACAACCTAGTCCCTAGTATATAGTTATAAAGATAATTACTTGATTACAAAGTAAATTTATATATAAAAAAATCTACTGAAGTTGAGTTTCCTATTATTAATCAACATTAAAAGTATATATGTTTCCTACTTTTAATCAAAGCAGATTTTCTATTTTCTTTTACTTTTTATTAATTTATATCATATTATTAATTGAGTCAAATCAAATTCGGTCAAACTCTAAAATCAATATTTGTTGTTATCTTGAAGTTATTTTTCTAAGAATACCTTAAAGTTATTATTAATGCATGCTTTTCAAATTGTTTTATACCTTTAAAAAATTAATATATTTAATAGTATTAGCTTATCACTTTCTTGTCAAAGGACTCTGTAACGAATTTCACCTATCGATATACTCTAATATAAAATAAGATAAAATTTATAAATTGATATTAAATAATATTAAATTGATCTTTTTGATACTAGATTTTCAAATATATTTATATACAATTGATATTAAACTTTAGATTTTGTAAAAATGAGACATCGACCATAACATCCTAAACTTGACCCACAAGATCTGAAGGTCATGGATGCTATATTTGACCATCGAGGTGATCATAAAAATTTAAAATCTTAAAATTGAATCCCATATAATCATCCTTTAAAACATTCATACTAATAATATTAAAAAAAACAATTAAAAGTGAATACAAAAACCGAAACTCTATATATAATATAGTGTAAATTAAAAGTGTTTACAAACTGAAACGCTAACAAAAGTCCTACAAATCCATATTTTAGACCAAAACAATATGAAACAATTTGCATGCACAAAAACGTTTAGAGAGAAATGGCTTCTTAGTCTTCAAGAAACAAAGTTAAAAAAAATAAATGATTTTCAATATGGATTTTATTAAATAAAATAATTATAATTTATTTTAAAATATATTTTTTAAATTATTTTTTCTTTCACTCGCCTCTATGGTTATATCATTATCTACACATACTTATTATCTTAATTCCACAAAATTGTTACAAATCTATAATACAAATTGATTAGGATTTGTTCTTTTTTATTAAAATAATCAATTTTATAAAGTAAAATATCTACAATTCATTTTTTAATATTTTTTCACCCACTTTTTTCGTAATAAATCGTTATCTTGTTATATTTATTATCTTAGTTTCCTACACCATCATAAAATTAAAATCCAAAGAGGTTTAGTATTTTATATGCATTTCTTGAACTATTATATAAACATAAAATATTTATTGTCATCCAAAAATCATTAAAACTTATTTGTGAGAAAGTTTTCTCCTTTTTTTTCTTTTTAAATAGTTGTGTGATTACTTATCTCCTTAAAAAAGTTAGAAACTAGTTATTGCCATGCAGAAGATGAAACCAATTGTCGATACGCAAGCTTCCGACTTAAAGAATTCCAAGCGCAGAGTGGAGGCGGTGGATCGAGTCGGTGGTTCGTCGAAGAAGAAACCCAAGGTGGTGGTGCACAGTACT